CCCCCCCGCATCCATGCACGCATCCGTGCATCCATGTATCCGTGCCCGTATCCCTGCATCCATCCCCGCACCCACGCGCCTGCCCGGATAACCGCCCAGGGCGCTGCAGCGGGAAGGCTCCCTTGTCTCTCCTGCTTTATCCTCTCTCCTCCTCCTTTTGCTGGCAGCGGGGGTGGCCGCGCGAGAGGCCCCTCCGCATTCCCGGGAATGCTGGGGGGCCGGGGGGGTCTGGCCTGGTTTGCAGCCGAGGGATGGGAATTCCCCCCCTCTTGCCAAGGCTCTCCCGGGAAACGCCGGCTCCATGGGGAGGATGGAGACAGGGCAGCAGGAGCCGGGATCTCCAGGCAGCGCTCGCGGCCCGGGATGGCACGTGCGCAGCCGGAGCAGGGGCCTTTGGCTGCCTGCAAGGACACCGGGAGGAAAGGCCCTGGTGGAGCTGCCGCACGGAGCAGGGAGCTGCACCGGGCACCGGGAGAGGCGAGGATGAGCTGAGGGTGCTGCAGGGATGTGACGGTCCCGGGGGGGTCTCCTGCGCCCGACACCCTGCTGAGAACGAGAGCGGGGGCAACTCGTGACACCGGCTGCAGGGGGAGCGGGGACGGCGGCTCCGGTGCTGGAGCACCGTGAGGTCCTTGTGCTGCTCCTGCCTTAGCCCTAAGACTAAATCTGCCTGGTCGACCAGGGAAGGAGCCACCCTAGCGCGCACCCTCTGCATTTTTGGTTTGGATAAGCCAAAAATGAACAAAAACCCCAAAACAAAACAAAAAGGACACTTTGACCCCTCTGGAATGTCACTGTCCCCGGGATGTGTCTGTGCTATCGAACAGGCCCGTTACCTGGAGCAGGGACTTTATCGAGCAGTCGTGTCCATCGCCCAGGCTCCATCCATGGATCATGCTGTGACCTGTGTCCGGCTTCTCCATCTGCTCTTCCTTTCCCAACCGAATGGCAGCAGATCCCGGGGGCGCCGCGGCGCAGGGATACCTGTCCCAGGGCATCCTGGATGGCCCCGCGGAGCGGAGCGCTCCGACCGGCT